AACCACTTGTTTTTGCCTGTCTTGTACCTCTCCTCAAATTTGACCTTGGCCTCCCGACGGGCCTTGCGTTTAAGAGCAGGATCTCTGAAGACATCCTTGTTGACGATAGTTTTGTCCAAGGGGATGTCTACGGAGTACCTCGTGGGCATGAGATGATTATAGTTATACACCTTCACAAAAGACTTGATCTTTGACCTCTTGGCAATTTTCTTCTTGCCCATGGCAGCTGTCACTTTGCGGGGGTATCGCTCGATTCCAGCCACCAGGGCGTGGCTGTAGGGGCGGTCCAAGGTGTGCCATCGTCAATGTTCTACACGATGACGGCTTTGCGTCCCGAATAGCGTCCCGCCAGGACCAGCACCACCTTCCCGGGTTTCATGAACTTGCCCGTTTCGACAACAGGCTCTCGGGCCGACAACAGAAAGGACTAAATTCCTATTCTTTGAAGCCTCCTACTTGTGGCATTTCTGATGCAATTGCACTCCCTCTCACTGTCATCCAGTTGATTATGATGCATAGTGACCCCATAGGACAGGGAAGAACTGCCCATTTGGGATTCTGAGACTGCAATTCTTTGTTGGAATAGAAAGCCTCATCTTTCTCCTGCAAAGCAGCTAGTGGTTTCAAACTGTTGACTTTTCAGTTAAGTAGCCCACTCTGTAACCACCATACCACCAGGGCTCCTCACAGTGGCACCAGGAAACTAAAATACTTAGTGAAGATTCCAAACCCAAACCTGTTAGGTTTACTGAATAAGCAGTCTAGTTGAGAGCATAATCAGCATTCGGTATGCTGTGGAGTTTCTGCAAAAAAGAGGAAGGCTCTCAAGGAGATGGATTGGCACAGAAGCTTCAGCAACGGGCAGACCATTGAGGATGGCATAGGACCCAACAGTGAATCACCCTGTTGTACATAGGTCGCTTGGTGTTGGGCTTGACTCAAGAGTGCCTCACAACCAGAAAAGCAGCCAGCCTGGTGCTGCAGTGGTTAAAACTCAGCTGCAGACTGAAAGGTCAGTTCTTTGAACCCACCTGGTGATTCCACAAAAGAGAAAACCTAGTGACCTGCTCCTGTAAGGGTTACAGCTGAGCAACCAATGGGGACAATTCTCCTCTCTCGTATGGGATCACAATGAGTTGGAGTCATCCCAACTGCACACGACCAGAGCAGCAAATGTGCTTAAAACTGGCCCAGGCCTGGCCGTATCTGACCTCCTCTGGCTTTCCTGTTGCCACGTGGCAGGTGCCAGACCTGCCTTGACTACATCTATGTTGAGTTCAATAATTCGTTGCCATAGCCACACAGAACTCACAAATACTATGCACAATTACGGGGCTTTAATAGTAGAAGTGAGAGGTTACCATAAGTTAGAATCAGTAAACATTAAGGAAACAGGTATTGGTCCACAGCAACACCATTGCTCAGCCAGCAGCCGAATCTCTCTCTGATCCTCAACCTCTCAGTCACATGGTCTCTGCCTTCATGGAGCAGGAAGACCCCACCTGTTGCTCTGCCTCATAGTCCCATAGGCTCAGTGTGGCTACTCTGTTCTGTCTCGTGGTTTCCTGCCTTGGCCTCTGATCTCAACCTGGCTCCACTGATCTGCCCTATGGTCCTCATACCAGGGGCTCCAGTGCCTCTGGTCTTGGCCTTTGCCACCGCACACAGAGATCTCAAATGGGCTCAGTTTCCGATGGGCCTGGGGTTTCTCTCTGTGTCTCTTCTGCACAGAGGACCAGTTTTGATGGAGGTGTGGATCTTGTCTTTCAGCAGACCATACCCCAAAGGGTGTGACTTGGTTCATATCCTCTACCAAGGTCAGGACAATCCCACCTTAATCTTGTCCATTCGTATAGCAGAGAACTCTCTCCAAAATGGGATAATGACCACACATAGAACGTCAAGAATTATAATACAGCACAGACGGAGTTATGGCTAGAAGGGCCATGTTCATGGACTGCACCTCAAAAGGTTTGGGCACAATCAGGAACTTTGGAGTTAGGTGTTAGTTCAGATTCGAACGACATCACTAACTAGTTTGAGGATCATCGTCCCATTTCATCTAACACTTCTAATCTTTTGTCTCCTCGTCTGTGAACTGGCGTGAAGTCCTGCTGGTGAGCTCTGGGGGTCTTCTTCCCAGAGCCTTCGTGCCCTCCCTTTCCCTACGTAACTGAGTAGGAGCCTCTTCCACAAGAAGAACCTGGGATGGGTCCCGTTGTATTGCTTCTAGACGGCACACACAGGCCATGCATTTGGTCCTCAGCTTATATGCTTCCTTCATCATATTTTGCTCAGTCAAACCCAGAAGGCTGCTTGTCCAGTGACCGCTGTTCTTGATCACTTCTCCTCTGTCACAGGGTAGACAGAAGCACCTTCCCTGGACCTCTCTGGGTGTGTATGCTACTTTCGTCCCATGGTGAACGTGCAGCACACATTCCTTGACTTATAAGAGATAAATCACCCCCCAATTTCCGTAACTAACCAATTTCTTACAACACCCCTCACAACCGAGTCTGACACACTGCAGCTGGTCCCTGCTGTCAGAAGTATTTTCTGGTGCTGCTTGGGAAAGGGCTCTGGATACAGTGGCCACTTTGTGTCTGGGAGCATCAGGCAAGGGAGAGGTAGCCCAGCTAGAATGGATGGAGGACCCTTGAGAAGGAAATGGAATTTACCCAAAGGATAATCTTCTCCAGGGGCTTGGTGTTTCCTGCATGTTTTGACTTGAGCACCGGGGTTCGCTGCTAGGGGAGGGGACACGGTATTCTGGACTTACTGAAGCCACCTGTTACATATCCGTGTATCTGAACCTGATCGCACGCGGTGACCTCCTTACCCTCTCCTCCTGCACTGGTCAGGACTCCGAGTTCCAGTGCTGACCAGTTGGGTAACCATGGACCAATGATGTCTTGGTGGTTGATATTCCTTGGCATAGTGGCTACACGGTGGGCTGCTAGCTTCGATATCAGCAGTCCCAAACCTCCAGCTGCTCCAAGGCTTTCTACTGTCAAGAACAGCACCCTTGGAAACTCACAGAGCCGCTTCGACCCTGTTTGTAGGGTCGCTCTAGAGCTGAACCAACTCGATCGCCTGGAGTGGGTTTTGGTTTGTTTTCGTTTCTGGAGTGCGACTGGAAAACCTCCCACAGAGATGACGTGAAATCAAATTAGACACCGTGGTTAAGAGCACATGGAAGCGAAATGAGATGATCAGAGAGGCAGGGGAATCTGCATGGTCACATCCTGAAGGCTAATATCAAGAACTTTTTTTTAGGACAGAACAGAAATGTACAGATCAATTTTATAACAGAGTCTCCACACAAAAAAACACACAGGGGGGCCCCAAAACACAAAAGGCACACACAGTCACACATGTCAGAGCAGCACCAAGGAGGTGCCCTTGGGGCCTCGGGGCCCTTGCCTTTAGTTCGAGAATGGTTTCTGATCGCACGTGGCACCTCTTGAGGGAACAGAATGCGTCTGTGCACTGTAAATGTGATTTCTGGAAGTACTTCCTTTTTTTCATTAAAAAGCTAAGCGTGTTATGTACGACAAACGCCAAGATGTGCTGTTATGGTTCCAAACGCCACTAGGAGTCCAATACTGGGCTGTGACAATCGAGTTGCCTCTCGACATTTTACTGTATCTTTAATAAGCAATAAGAAAGATAATAGCATTCCAGTAGCTTCAGCCCACAGCCTCGTTCTTCCCTAGTGGAAAGCCTAGCATTAGGTTAGCCAAAGTGCACAAATGCTTCGGGAAAAACAAGTGAAACAGGAAATTAACTTTTCTGTCGTAGTGCAACAACTACCTGTTCTTAGTGGAGCAGCAGCCAGAAGGTCGACTTTCATATTGAGCCACAAATCTTCCCATCTGGACAACCCAGAGGGCAGAAGAAAGTTTGAATGGATTTCCTTCCACTCCCCTCCTCGTTATTATCTCCGTTATTCTCTTCTCCACCCATTAATAAAATGTTAATAAAGCATCTGCAACTTCCCATCCCACAAGCCAAGTCTATTTACTCAAGTGTCTTAGTACTACAAATGCTATCTTGAAAGCAGATAGAGTTGGGGCAGAATTCATTTTGGGGAGCAAAAGAGTAGATGAGGATAGGGGAAAGGAGTTACATTTAAGCTTTTTCTTTTAAATAAACAATGGTTAAAGCAATACCCGGTCTGCTTGAAGCACATGTTTTTGCTGGAAAGCAGATGAACTGTCGAAATAGGAACCTCAAGATGCGAGCACTGTCTCCTGTTCTTAATAGAAAATGACATTTTACAAGGAAGCTCCTTTTTGTGTGTGCTTGTGGCATAAATGGAATGGGAGGAGGCCTCATCATCCAATGATGGGCGTGTGTTCCCAAGAACAATGCCTAGAAAAATCCGAAACAAAACAAGAAAGCATTGGTCACAATGTAACTGCTCTCTGTGAAGCCTAGCAGTAGCATAAAAGTTTCTAACAAATTACTGACGGTTGGGTTAGGGCAGGGATCAAGTTTACGCAATGCCTGGCCCATCACACGTTGAATGAATAAATGGGTGCACCCTAATATAAATCCATGCTGTGTGCCCACTGAAGGGGTCCCTGTATCTGTCGGCAGTCTTTGGATTCTTCCGTATGTTTTATTGGATTCTTAAACTCTCTTCTCCTCAAACAGCGACCCCCACCCCACGTCTTCCTTTATTCTAACACCTTCTGCTTTCCTAAGAAGGTCAGAGCAACCTGTCATGTTAGAAGACATGGTTTCTTCTTGAACCTGGCCTTCTGCTCAACCAGTTGGGTACTGCAGACCTCTAGGAAGAGGAACTCACTTGTCCAGTCCTTCGCAGAAGAAATCCAACTGCTATTTTGCAAAGCAATCCATCCCATACAGGAAGGATTATAGAGTTTAGGGACATGAAAATCTGGTATCAGATATCAGAGAATGTCTTATTCTTTGCTCTGGAAATAGTGCTTCTGTTATAGAATTATAAGAGTGTTGCTGTTTTGTGCCAACTTTTTTTTTTAAGCAAGAATTGAGCCACCGAGGGGGTTGCAGAGGACAATAGTCAAACTTTGTACAGTACTAATGGACCAGGTGGTGCCTCAGAGCAGGAAGCTTGCTGGTGGCATGGGGTGGTTGTAGGCATTTATTGGCAGAGTGAAAAGCCCCTTTTAACACTTGGCAGAGCAGGGCTGAGTTGGGCCACAGGATGGTGGGGGCTAGGTGTGTGCCTGCAGGCACTACTGAGAAGAGGCTCTCTCGGATAGATAATGCTCCTGACACATTGCTGACCCTCAAGTGAAACTGGTTGCTTCCCTAATAAACCCCATGATGCTATTTCTGTCTATCAATTCTCTATGACCATTGCAAAACATTTTCAAATTCAGCAGCCAATTTGAAAGGCTGTGGGGTGTCAGAATTGGGGAAGGAAGAAAGAAAGAAAAAAAGAAAGGAAGAAAGAAAGAGAGAAAGAAAAAGAAAGAAAGAGGGTGGAGACATATGTGTCTGACATCCACCTCACAGGGACAAGCCTTGAGCTACTGGTTTTGACGCCTCTTCCCTCAAAAGAAAAGGACCCTGGTTGCACTGAGGATTAGGCACTGGGCTGCTAACCTCAGGGTCTGTGGTTCAAACCCATCAGACTTCTGTGGCTGTAAAGGTTTATGCTCTTAGAAACCCTCGATAGATGTTGAAACCCACTCAGTGGCAGAGCATTTGTTTAGCCCTGGGTTGTGACCTTAGAGGAGCTCAGACTGCCTTCGTGTCTTTGTTTGCTTTTTAACACCTGGGCATTATGGTGAAATGCAGGGTCCGATTTAATTAGGGTAGAAACAGACATCCTCATCAGTGAGTCCAAGGATTTGGAGCTCTGCTATTGGAAAGATAGTAGGTGTTAGTGTGCATTTGCAAGTGAGGGTGTGTTGTTGGTATACGCCATCTCAACTCAAAAAAACTCACTGCCATTGGGCCAAGGCCAACTCCTAGCGACCCCATTGGATAAGATAGAACTGCCCCTGTGAGTTTCCGAGACTGTAACACTTAATGGGAGTCGAAAGCCCTGACGTGCTCCCTTGAAGTAGCTGGTGGTCTCAAACTGCTGACCTTGCAGTTAGCAGTCCAACATGTAACCAGTAGGTTACATCCTGTCTGGTTGGGCCCAACTCATATCAACCATATGCACAACAGAATAAAACGTTGCCCAGCCCGGCATCATCCTCACAATCTTGTTTGAGCCCATGTGCCAGCTGCTGTGTCCATCCGTGGTCTCTTCAATTTTTGGTGACCAAACATGACGTCCTTTTCTAAGGACTAATCTCCCCTAATAGAAAGTCCAAAATACATGAGGCAGAGTTTCACCATCCTTGCTTCTCAAGAGGATTCTGGCTGTACTTCTTCTAAGACAGACTTGCTTGTTTTTCTGGCAGTCCATGGCACTTTCAGTGTTGTTTGCCAGCACCTAATTCAAACGCCTCAATTCTTCTGTGGTCTATCTTACTCAATGTACAACTTGCATTTGCAAATGCATATGAGGTGATTCAAAATAACACGTTTCGAGTCAGATGTACCTCAGTCCTTAAAGCGACATCTGTGCTCTTCAACACTTTAAAGAGATCTTACGCAGCAGATTTGCCCCATGCAATATGTCACTTGATTTCTCGACTGTTGCTTTTATGAGCATGGACGGTGGAGTCAAGCAAGATGAAGTCCTTGACAACTTCAGTCCTTTTTGTTTATCCTGATGTTGTCTATTGCTCCAGTTGCCAGTATTTAATTTTTCTTTCCAGTGAGTTATAATCTACACTGAAGGCTGTAGTCCTTCATTTCCATCCTGAAGCAAGTGCGTGTTAGTCTGGGTAGACTGGAGAAACTAATTCCTTAGACACTCATATGTATGTAAGAAAGGTTTATATAGAAGAACAATTGAATATTGAGAAAACGTCTGAGCCCAGTCCAGATCAAGTCCATAAATCCAATATCAGCCCATATGTCCGATACCAATGTATAAAGTCCTCTTCAGACTCACAAAATACATGCAATGATGCCAAATGCAGGAAGATCACAGGCCAGTGGGTGCAACGTCTTTTGGATCCCATGGTGGTAGAAGCATCTTATCCCTGTAGCTCCTCCAGTTCCCAGGGCACTGGGTCTATCAGCGTAGTGACAGCTCTCTTGTCAATAGAGTGTCTCTCAGGGAGTGAGCAGAGAGAGAGAGGTGTCTCCTGCCTCTGGAAAAAAATACAGGAGTTCCCAGAATCCTCAGGAGAAGGCCATGCCTACACAGAGGTCCCATTGGCTATGAGTCCATTGACAGACTAGACTCCACTGCTTCACTCCTAATCCTCTCAAATTGACACCAGATTATGTAACTCCCACAAAGTGCTTCAAGTCTTCATCCTTTTCAACAAGCAGCATTGTCATCTGCACATCACAGGTTGTCAATGAGCCTTGCTCCAATCCTGATGCCAAGTTTTTCCTCATCTAGTCCAGCTTCTCAGATGATTCGCTCAGCATACAAACATACTGAATTAGTACGGTGGAAAAGTATAGCTGTGATGCATTTTCCCTATGTTAATTCATGTGACACTCTTGTTCTGTTTGAAAGACTGCCTCTTAGTCCAACCGTGGTCCAAGGTTCTGGATGGGTGCAATGGGCCTGAGGTTCCTACACTTCTCAATGTTGCCCCTACTTTGTTGTGATCCACAGAGTTAAATGCCTTTGTGCAGTAATAAAATCGATGGTGTAACTCATGAGTGCTGATAATAAGAAAGGCGGGGGCCTGGCATTCAGAAAGCCCTGGTGTGCTGCAGGACAACCCTCAATCTGAGGTTTGAAGGCTCTCCAATCAAAACCCACATTGGCTGCTATCAAGTCGATGCCGATTTACAGTGACCTGATAGGACAGGATAGAACTGCCCCTGTGCATTTCCAAGACTGCAACTCTTATTGGGGGTAGAAAGCCTGAGCTTTCTGCTGAACGGCTGGTGGTTTTGAACTGCTGACCTTGTGGTGGGCAGCCCAATTCGTAACCACTACACCACCAGGGCTCCTTTCAGGGCTCTGGCATTCATGAAAATGTTCGGTCAAGTGTATGCTGCTGAGGTATTGTTGTCATGACCCAGCGTTCTTTCCAACGGCATTGCCTTTGCAAGGGCTTACTATTTTAAGTCCACATTACTGAATTAACTCATTGTTTTGGCACCAGGGGACAGAGTCCTGCTATTATTTCAACATTTGTCAAAAGAACAAGGTCTCCTTGTCCTCTACTTGTTATTCCATAATTGTGGCTCATCTCTTCTATTCTGTCATCATTATGGATGTCCTTTAACGACTTGTGATAAGGCTGCAAGGGCTAGAAGGGACTTGGAAGGGTCCACAGCAGAGCCTGCACTGCAGGCAGCACTCAGGCACAAGATTTTGGGGCAGAGTGTAACTCACGCCTTCCTCCAAGGCGACGGGCTCTGGGCTGCAGAGTCTATGTGAAAGGCCGAGAAGACGAGGGTAAGGGAAGGAGGGGAGAGGGAGCAGAGGAAGGCTGAGGACATGGGAGGAAGCAAACAAGTAACGCAGTGGGGTGGTGGACTCTGAAATGAGAAGTAAAATCAGTGTGCCAAAGGACAAGGCCGGATACATTCCTTTCCTGTCTTTTCACTTCAAGTTCTAGCTCCTCTAAGGAGACCTTTGAAGACAGTCCTGAAGACCAGCAGGGCTGGCAACCCCTTTGTTTTCTTAACCCCCAGGGGTAGGGGAGGGTGTCCGTTCTCTCCATAAACAAGACCCTGGTGACCCTCAGCTGTGCCTCAAGGACATCCGTCTGGGATTGGTTGGGGCTGGAAGAAGTGCTTCCGCTGACTTTAAACCAGCGAGGAGAGGGAGACAAGGAAGGGGGAGCAGCCAGGCTGTGGGGAAAGGGGGAGGCAGCCCGACAGCCCGGGAAGGTCAGCCTTCACAGCTGGAGAATGTACGGATGGACAGAGGAGGGCCAGGCAGAACTGGTCTGGTGGTTTTGCTTTTTCTGGGCTTTTCTCTTGGCTCCCAAGAGGTATGCGACCTGTGAGACTTGGCCTTGGCAGGGGGAAAGCTCCTCCCAGTGTGACTGTGCAGCCTGGCAGTCAGAGACCAAGGAGACTGGGAGAGCGCCTGCCTTCCCCCACTTCCCGGCTGGCCAGCAGGAGTCTTGTAGCCTGCTCCCCTCCTCCCTGTTCTCCTCACCTTTCCTACCCTCAGTGGCACCAGCTCTGGGCCCTGGAGCCCTTTACAAAGGCAAGGTGTGGGGCCAGCATGGTCTGTGTGGAGCACTGTAGGTGGCCCCCAGTGTTCTCAGGGCTGATTCCGACTACAGGCTTCATGTTTTATAGATGTGACATATCCCTGAGCCATCTGCAGCTCATATGTGCCCTGTGGGTGAAACAACTCACAGTGTTTTCTAGATGGGGGTGGCCAGTTCTTGGCTCTGCCTCTAGGACTGTCTAGGTGGAGCACACAGTGAACTCTGGGTTGCTGACCCAAAAGGGGGTATGAGCCGATCAAGTGGATCCTCAGAAGAAAGGCCTGGTGAACTATTTCTGAAAACGTCAGCCATTGAAACCCCCAACCCCCACCCACGCACCTGGCCCTTCAGCGTGCCCTCTAACTCCTGGTGGATGCTTACTAGCAAGCGTGGGTCTCTTGTTCACCCTCTCTGTGTCTTCTTGTGTGAGACGCCTTGTCTGGTGGGTGTCTTAGAAGTGAGTGGTGGGAGGAGATTTGATAGGTTGTATGAAGTTGCTGCATCATGGAATCTGAGCCGCGGAGAGAGAGAAGGGGGAGATGAAGGAGGGGGAGAAAAGTTGGGGTGAGCAGGTTGAACGGATGTCTGGGGAGGAAACAGGAAGAACTGGAAAGATAGGCATGTAACGAGAGAATGGAATATCTTCTGTTTTGCTTTCAGAGGTGGGGCTGTTTGGGCCTGACAAAACCCCCAGCGTGGCTTCCAGAATGACCGGTTGAGATGAAGTCGACGAGAGAACCAATGGGTCTGAGGAGGTCTTGGATGTTCTGCGGCTTCACTTGTAGGTGTGAGGCATCTCCTGAGACTTCTCTAGTGGAATCCTTCACGCGATGGTGAATAAAATCCTTCCGGTGATAGTCGAATAAAAGGCATGCAGATATAAACCAGTAGCTCAACCTTTGCGTTTAGGCCTTCCTTCCTTCTTATTAGAGTCTGGCATTAAGCTCAGCACTGGATACACAATGATAGCCAACAGAAGCAGGTTAAGGCCCGAGAGAATGCAGATTATTGGAAACGCAGACATTAAATAAATCATGTATGAATGTGGAAATTGTGGAAAAGGCTATAACCTAGAAGTGTCAGAAGCCATCTAAATTCGTGAGGAAGACAGAGCCTCCCCAGAAACACAAAGCTGATTCCTGTGACGGAGACATCAGACGTATCTCCACCCCGCAACTTGTTCACCCTTATGACCAGTTGTCCTCCCCACATCACCCTGCACTTGTCAACTGTGTTCATAAGTTCATTGTGATGGCCCCCGAGAATTCCCAGCCCATAGTCATGAGGATGAATTTATTAGGGAAATAATAGACCACAGCTCAGGATCAGGCTCCAGCTGAATGTAGGGCTTCCAATTGATTCTTCCCAATTCACTCATTTCTGATGAAAGGTAACCAGGACAGGCCCATATTTGTAGAAGAACAATCACTGGAATGAGAAAACTAACAGGCCGACACCCTACTGGACACGTAAACTCCTTCTTGGAGAACAAGGCTGGCATGTGTGTTGCATAGCAAACTAATCTCTTGATCAGCAGAGTCAGAAACCGTGGTGCCGGGCTCAAAGATGGTAGTGACTGCTGAGCTGTGAAGGTGTGCTGCTCTCCACAGTCCAAGCATAATCCAGTCACTCCCCTCATTCTCCTTTGAAGGGTTTCACTACACCTCTTCCGAGTCTCTCGTTCCAGGAATTTGACACGTGCTTTTTTTGCAGTTATCATTCCATTACACTCACATTTTACAAACTCATATCTCTTCCGAGAATGAACTGGCTTGAGGCTCTAATTGGAGGTTCACAAGATACAATTCGGGAGACAGGATATAGTTTGCCAATCAGGACAGCTTCCAACCAAAACAACTTCGGTTTCTTCTTGGCCATGCCCACAGGCAGACTCCTCTCTCGGGCTCACTGCCGCACCTGCCCCTGGGTCTTACCCTTGATCATGGCCCGCCCCTGGCCCTGCTCTCAGCCTCTGACCTGTTCAGTCCTATGGGACCTCTTTTTAGACAATTGCCCAGCTGTACCTCACTCTACCGGCAAGGTCTCTTGCTCCGTGGGTTGCAAGCCCACTGAAGCCACCCCTCTCTGGGAACTGGGAGGTGAACACCGCCGTGTCACAACAGTCTCCTGATTCCCACCCTGTCATGTCACCTGTGGTATCACAGCACTCTCTGTCTCCTGGGATTAAAAGGCTCTCACCACAGGAACCCAGGCTCCAAAAGGTGTGTCCGGCTCTGGGTTTTGGTTCTTGGTAGGAAGGACTTCCTCAACCTCTGTGGGACTGGCCTTTTTGTAAGCTGGGACCTCCCACTAAGACCAAGAATTGACCAATCATCTTGGTAAGCTGCAGCCATTTAATTTTCGCAGCAATCAACCAGTCCCTACAAAGGTTTTGTACATCCTACTATGGAGTAGACTAATCAATCTCTTTGTAAGATTGTAGCCCCGCAAATAAACTCAGGCCAGCAGAGCCATAGGAGAAAGCCATTGCACTGTAAGTGGCCAAAGGGAAAATGGTACCAGTTGCTGTGGAGGAGTTGAGGCTAACGCAGAGGGACCCTAGGGGTCCAGGGTAGCTTCTCTGGTTATTCAGAAGTAGATCAGCAGGACTCCTTTTTTTTTTTTTTTTAAATCATTCCATTTGCGGCTCATACAACTCATCACAATCCATACTACGGTTAGTAGATATGTGTAAGCATATGTAGCCCTGGCATGTTGAGATCCAGACTTGGGGTACCCTAAGCTGTATTTGATAGTGGAGAGCCTTTGGAGGCCATGCTTAGACAACAAGGAAATCTGAGACTCTGTGCTGTCCTGAAATTACAGGTTATTTCTATGAACAAAATATGTATGGTATGCATTCTAGAAAGTTACATCTACCTTACTTCTTAAATTCTCTAAAATAAGTGTACACTTCACCAGTGGAGGGTGGGGGCTGTTTTACATTCTTATAGGGGAAAATTAAAACATAATTCACTATGACTGACTCTGCAATATTTCTAAGATGTCAAAAATCGGGACTAGGAAGGCA